AGCGCTGCAACGCAACAACTGTCCTCTGTAGCTCAGTTGGTTAGAGCGCTGCAACGCAACAACTGTCCTCTGTAGCTCAGTTGGTTAGAGCGCTGCAACGCAACAACTGTCCTCTGTAGCTCAGTTGGTATTTATTCTCTTTTACCCAATGGCCTCGTTTTCGTGTCAAATACTTACTCATGTTTTGTGCTTAGTAGGATTGAAAGTTACTTTGTTATTGAGCCAACGAACAGCAAGAAACAATTAGAAAACATGGAAATATAATCTTTATCTGCCCTTGACATGCTAAGTATAGGTAATCATGCGATGGCGAGTACAATTCGGGATTAATAGTACGAGTGATGTTTGGAAATTTTGCCAAAATTGAACGAGCCGCCGGGGCGGGTCCAATTTGGCAAATTTCCAAACATCACGAGTACTATTAATCCCTAATTGTACGAGCAACATCGCATGATTACTTGTTTATTATTAGCATGACAAAATTGGATACGTACTTCTCAATGTCAACATCGTATTCTCTCGCCAAAGCCCATCAGTCCTGCCAGACTTTCAACCAAAATTTGGTGCTTCTGTTTGTATTTTCATTTAATTCTTTTGTTTCAGCAAAATTTGGTGCTTTTGTTCGCACTTTAATCTAGTTCCTCCACGGCAATTTCATTTCACACTTGTGATTAAAATACGTTTCCGCCATTTTGTTTGTTTTGGGAAAATCATTAATTATACTGCAGTACAATTAATGAAATATTTGTACTCCTCTCAACCAATCAGCATCCAGTAATTTTGTCATGCTAATAATAAAGTAAGTTAACATGGAAACGAGGCCATTGAGTAAAAGAGAAGAATCGGTAAGGTCTATTTGGAAAAAAAACATGCACGCCCCCCCTGTATACACCGACGGAATGGAACTGATATAAGGCAAGATATATTAAATTGTGTTGTAATGTGGTGTCTTCCAGGCTTTGGATGGTTTCATCATGATTATTACAACGGATGGTCAACTTTTTTATGTCTCAGAATCTGTCAAAGACTTTCTTGGATATTCTCAGGTTTATATTAACATCCTTTTCATTCTAATCTAGTTTTACGATTAACATTTCTATAGCCGAAGCTCAAGAACTCCCTTTTCTCAAATGGCAGAACTCCCTTTTCAAATGCCAGAACTCCCTTTTCAAATGCCAGAACTCCCTTTTCAAATGCCAGAACTCCCTTTTCAAATGCCAGAACTCCCTTCTCAAATAGCAGAACTCCCTTTTCAAATGCCAAAACTAGCAGAACTACCTTTTCAAATGCCAAAACTCCCTTTTCAAATACCAAAACTCCCTTTTCAAATGCCAAAACTCCCTTTTCAAATAGCAGAACTCCCTTTTCCTAGAAATGCCATTTCTTGCGATATGGGCAGGAAACCTAATCTCAACTGACTTCGCGCTGCAACGCAACAACTGTCCTCTGTAGCTCAGTTGGTTAGAGCGCTGCAACGCAACAACTGGCCTCCGTAGTTCAGTTGGTTAGAGCGCTGCAACGCAACAACTGGCCTCTGTAGCTCAGTTGGTAGCGCTGCAACGCAACAACTGTCCTCTGTAGCTCAGTTGGTAGCGCTGCAACGCAACAACTGTCCTCTGTAGCTCAGTTGGTTAGAGCGCTGCAACGCAACAACTGGCCTCCGTAGTTCAGTTGGTTATAGCGCTGCAACGCAACAACTGGCCTCCGTAGTTCAGTTGGTTATAGCGCTGCAACGCAACAACTGGCCTCTGTAGCTCAGTTGGTAGCGCTTGCCCATCAAAATCTAATGCTCGCTACCATATAATCTGCATGAATGATAGCAGGGGCAATGCCTCTGTGTGTTAGATACCTCTCGTACTTACTGTATTGTAACAATTTGAATACAATATCATGTTTTCTCAATCTTAGTTATTTCGTGAGGCGATCAAGTTGGCGTATAGATATAAAGAAAATTCTACAGACTTTGTTGATGTTGTCATGAAAGAACTTGAGGTGATTGTTCTCTAGGAGGACTTAATTTTGAAAGACTTTGTAATAATAAGTTTACTAGTTTACTTTTTTTTTACCTTTATAATAAGTTTTTAGACGTTCTCTGGTTTTTAAATATTTATTATTACGAGCTTTTGACCGCCAGTCTGCAATCTTCAACAGGTGGATTACAATGAGAGTGTGACAGTTACAACGGTTCACAATTACATATAGATACAAAATTTGTGGGGGAAGGTGGTGGAACCAGGTGGTGGGGCGGGGGAAGGTGGTGGAACCAGGTGGTGGGGTGGGGGTTGTACTGTCCCTTCCCCCAATGATTTTGTTTCAGCAGTTCTGAACTGTGTTGATATTTGCAGGCAATGGAGGAATTGGATATTGAAGATGACAAGTTTACAGCTGTGAATGGAACTGATGAAGGTGGAAGTACTTCATGACAGATAAGTCAAATGTTGTGTGTTTTGGAAAGCTGGTGCTGTAAGATTTTGGGAAACACATGCAGGATGAAATACCTGTAGGATACAAACTCGTGAAAAAGACTTGAACTTTCTGATTGAGACAATAAGCCATATGAAAAACTTTGAAATACCTGAGCTGGGCAACAACGTGCGGACCGATGTCTATGTACAGTAGGCCAAGACTTATTCTGCAAGACATTGTGCAGGCCAACAAGACTTGGACTACATGACTTGTCTTGCAACAAAGCTTGGACTAAATGACTTGTCTTGTCCCAGTCTTGCATGGGTTAAGTGATCTTCTGTCTTTTAGTTGAAATTTTGTTTTAGAATTGGAATTTCGTTTTAGTTGAAATTTTGTTTTAGAGTTGAAATTTTATTTTAGTTCTTAATGAGGTACAACCTGTAAGCCAACAGCATTGGAACTTCCCAGTCTTGCTCATAAAAAATTCTCTTAAGAACTTTCAGTCCAAAACATGCATTCTTAGGCATCACATTCAATGTCCACATATCACGTACCTAACTGTAAATTCAGATTTAATATATTAACATTAAGTTATAGTTCTATAGTACTAATATTGTAAATACTAGATAAATATTAAATAAATCTTTAAACTTTACTGTAAACTAAACTTTGAGGGAGTTTAACATTTTGTGATTTCAAAAGGAACAATTTTCACCTACCATATACAGCTAATGGACCTTTCACCTTTTGACTAAAATTTAGATTTCAAAAAGTCTAGACAAAAATTTTATCACAGCTTGAAAGAGCATCACAAAATTAGTAATATTCCAAAGTTTCATTGCGAAATGTTGTAAAATGCAGATAATATAGCCTTGCGAAGTCTGCCGTTTTTCAGTCATTTGTATTACAAACTGGAAATACATACCCTTTTTCCGAAGGAGGTATGTATTTCCCGCGCGTAATACCAAATGACTGAAAAACGGCAGACTTCGCAAGGCTATATTATCTGAATTTTACAACATTTTGCAATGAAACTTTGGAATATTACTAATTTTATGATGCTCTTTCAAGCTGTGATAAAATTTTTGTCTAGACTTGTTGAGATCTAAATTTTAGTCAAAAGGTGAAAGGTCCATTAAAAAAATGTTGTCCTTAATTTGCAACTCTAAGCGTTATATATCTTAATCATTTTAGAAATCATATTCCCATTTCTTAGAGACATGGTAAATATCTCCTTACGAGAACAATTCATTCACAAATAGCTGCAATATTCAACTGCTAAGCTTGAAACTTGTGCTCCCATTAAACTTTGCGCGCTTAGTGTTTAAGGTTTAGTCTTTAGAGTTTAAGGTTTAGTCTTTAGAGTTTAAAGTTTAGTCTTTAGAGTTTAAGGTTTGCTAAGCTTTTTTGAATTGGCTGTATCTAACCTTCAGAAAGACGTAAGCATGGTTTACACTATCGACGTTTCTGTGATCACAGTAGGAATTTTGCATGGGTGAATTCTAAGTTTTGAAGGATTTGTAAGATATCTTTGAGGAAACTTACTGAGTGTTATAAAGGATGGTTTACACTATCAAAGTTTCTGTGATCACAGTAGGAATTTTGCATGGGTAAATTCTAAGTTTTGAAGGATTTGTAAGAAATGTTTGAGGGAAGTTACTCAATGTTTAACACTCAGTAAGTTCCCTCAAACACTTCTTACAAATCCTTCAAAACTTGAATTGCCCCATGCCAAATTCCTACTGTAATCACATGATATTGTAAGCCAGGCGTTATAGTATATGATAAACACATGAATTAACATTATTTTTTCACTCATATAACTTCCAGTTGAGGACAATTTGTTGCGTGATAGCACATAGTGAAACTTGGCGATGCATATTGTTTGATTCCTAATTTTAGTATTGTATGTTGTGGTATCTTAATTTGTATGTATTGTATGAAAACAGCAGGGGAATTGCTCACTGCTGGGTTGAAACAATGCTGAGATGGTGTGGGAAAAATTATTTTAAAACTATGCTAAATTTAATAACACAGTGACAGACGTAATGTATATAGATGTGATTTGTGAATGATATTTTTGTTTCGATTATTTCATATCAAGTTCTTTGGACAGGGTAGTGTGTCTGTACAGTATGTTATTGTAACTATGATTTTATCAAGTCAATCCTGTGAGTATCTTAGCACATTGCGAATGACATCATCTAAGGTGTAAAGGTTGAAGCAATATTGAATTGAAATTAAACAAGGTTGCTGTACATTACTCGTATTCTCGACGTTTCTAACCGCAATTATAAATGTATACCAATTTGCAGATTTCAAAAGAAATGTAAACTAGCATTTTCTGTTAACAGATTTGATATATTTCTCTAGTCATGTTTATCGCTGAGATTCTAGAGGGATGACATTCGAGAGAATACCGTTGATTCTGTGAAGAAAATGCCGTGGAAAAGGTACGCTACTCTTAGGTTTTATAAGATTTATAAATGTAAATCATATCGAAGACCTCGGGCAGGGATCATGCTTTCTTTGAGTAAAATATTTAATATTGATAACTTTAACAGCAACTTTTGCCCTCGACTGATGTTTGCCGCGATGTGTACTTCGTTGAATAATCAAACGTGTGTCCGTGAACTACATGAAAAATATTACCACACTTCTCGTTTTCAATCGAGAAGCTTCCGTGAGGTGGTGAACAACACTGATGCCAGTTGTATCAAACTTTAAACTAAGTTTTAACCACTACTTTGTCGTTAAATTGTAGTTAACTTACGCGATTTTGATTGGTTGACTTTCGCCCCAAGTGAACGTAATAACTTTAGCTGCCCTTTTAATTAAGCCTGGTTTTAATATGGTCGTAAAGATCCATCTTTACTGAGTCAGTCACGATCTTTCTCATCAGCCGAAATACAACATTTTAGAACTGAAAATACGCGGAGTGATTAGAACTATAGAGAATACTGTACTTATGATTTATATGTGGTTTACAGGTATAAACTATTACAAACTGGCGAAAGATCGTGACCTTATATTTTTACGACCATATATGGAAACCAGGTTTTACACAACTGAACGTCTTTGCTTTTTGAGATAAATTTTGATGAAAAGATAGTAAAAATCTTTCGCTTTTTTATACAACATCATTTTGGCCAACTAATTTGATCAAACCAACTATAATTTACCCTTTTGAGTGAAATTTTGCTCTAGACAAGGCGTAAAAAAAATACCTGTGGTTCCGGTTCCCGACCGACCCTACCTTTTTTCTGCCAACCCTATTATTTTTTCAACGCGATTGACTGTGCGACCCTATTTTCTCCAGGTGGTTGCGGGCCGCTCATATAGCGTGCCAAAATGGCGTCTGTTGCCACACTAATTATTGAACCAAATTGCCTAAATTCGTCCATAGGAAATAGGCATCTCTACTTAATATTGATGTCGGGATTCTACTGCAAATCGCCCAACAAAAAACCGCCAAAACCATGAAAAAAATATTCAAAAAAAAAATTTATTTCCGACCTACCGACCCTAATTTTTTCACGATATGAAACCGGAACCACAGGTACTTTTTTTTACGCCCAAGTCTGGACAAAATTTCATCACAGTTTGAAAGAGCATCACAAAATTAGTAATATTCCAAAGTTTCGTTGCGAAATGTTGTAAAATGCGGATAATATAGCCTTGCGAAGTCTGCCGTTTTTCAGTCATTTGGTATTACAAATGGGAAATTGATAATCAGTTCATCTGAGTACCAATTTCCGTTTGTAATACAAAATGACTGAAAAACGGCAAACTTCGCAAGGCTATATTTTAATATTTGCATTTTACAACATTTCGCATCGAAACTTTGGAATATTACTCATTTTGTGTTGCTCTTTCAAGCTGTGATGAAATTTTTGTCTAGACTCAGTGTTGAGATCAAAATTTAGTGTATAATGCAAATGGTCCATTAATGTTCCATCCGCTTGTTTGTTTTCTAGAAGGAAAAGTTACACAAAAATGGAATTAGAGAAATACCAGTACAGCATTGAGTACACGTTGTGTTGTTTCATAACTTTTTCCTCAGACTACATCCGTCCTTTTCCTGTTTTCAAAGGTTAGTGCTGTGAAAATATTGCCAGTACTTGAGTATTGTGTAATGTACTGTGTCAAGAGAGTAGTGAACATTTAACAATTATTCGCCGAAGGCGAGGTTATTATCGGGGGGGGGGGGTATTAGCCGAGACGAACTCGAGGCGAATATTCCCCGATAATCACCGAGCCTGAGGCGAATAATTGTTTTGTGTTTTTTGGGACTGAATTTATTTTAATTTCGCTTATTTCTTTATCAGTAACTTCCACAAAACGGCTAGCCGCCATTTCGTGCCAATAGAAGCGTTCCGAAAAATGTTGACCAATTCATTTCCTAACTTGAAGGAACACCTCTGAACAATTCCTCAACAATTTGATAAGTTCCTTAAAAATTCCTAACTTCCTGTTTCATTGACCAATCAAATTTTATATTTTATTTTTGAGCAATCTGATTGGTCAATGAAACAAGAAGTTAGGAATTTTTAAGGAACTTATCAAATTGTTGAGGAATTGTTCAGAGGTGTTCCTTCAAGTTAGGAAATGAATTGGTCAACATTTTTCGGAACGCTTCTATTGGCACGACTGTAACACGTCAAATTTGACCAAATTTGACCATTGGATTTGTTATAATCACTTGTGCAAAAATACGAAACATGGGTATCTCCTGGGGTTTCGATTACGCAATCCTCAGACGCCTGTCTGAGTTGCAAGTGTTAAGCCCCGGTGAAACGAGGTTGAGTGTTGACGAGAGTTGCCAGTCACGTATGAGTTTATCTATTGGTCGAGTGTCGAGTGTCGAGGGTAAAAAGTCGAGGGCGAGGGTAAAAAGTCGAGGGCGAGGGTAAAAAGTCGAGGGTGAGGGTAAAAAGTCGAGGGTGAGCGTTAAAAGTCGAGGGTAAAAAGTCGAGGGTTAAAAGTTGAGAGTAAAAAGTCGAGGGTTCAAAGTCGAGGGTTCAAAAGTCACAAAAAAATACAATATTAAGGTCAGGTTAGCGACGAGTTCTCGGCAGTATTGTTATACGAGCCCTTAGGCTATAAACCAAATAATCAAACCTATAATATGCGTTCCACGCACATATACTACGTGGCGACCGCGTATTCTGCGTTTTAAATGTATACTAATATGCCATACCGTGGCTTTGCGTCCTGATCTGCATCATACATGCAGCCGTGCAGACAGCAATACAACCAGTTTAAATAATATATATTGTTTGTTCTCTACAAACAACAGTATATTACACACTAAGCAGGGCTCTTTAAAACACAGCACCCTGCGTTACGCCTTTAATCGGCAATAAATGAACCGATAATGTAGGGGCAATTAATATCGCAACTTGTCATTGAACTTGATGTATATATGCAAGGTTCGTTTGTAGCCGGTATACTGCGTGTGCTTAATCGGCTAAATTATTACTCCGCAAATCAGATTAAGGTGTGAAACTCAGGCGTAAAACTCCGACTACCTATCAGTTACATTTTAAGATATACAGAAACTCTTTATAAACAATCCCGCGTTGAAAATAATCACGGACCTCCATTTTATTAAACGCTTTCCAAATTTTCCTGAGTGCACACGAAACAATAGCTTAAAATAGAAGTCAAGTTACTTGTTGTTGTCATTGCCGGTCTCGATTTTGTACCATTGGCATTGTTTGAATTGTTTAATGTGTCCACAAGCAAATCAGTCGTGTTTTAAACATGACTAATATAATTGAAACTTGGTCAATTTTATGATTGTTATTTATGCCAAGAAGACACGTAGACGTCGCTATGGCCTTATCCGAAGCGGTTACCTGATCTTAATATTGTATTTTTTGTGATTTTTAACCCTCGGCTTTTTAACCCTCGACTTTTTACCCTCGAATTTTAACCCTCGACTTTTTACCCTCGACTTTTTACCCTCGACTTTTTACCCTCGACTTTTAACCCTCACCCTCGACTTTGTACCCTCGCCCTCGACATTTAACACTCGACCAATAGATAAACTCGTCGCGTATTGTTCCAGGGGACATTTCAAGCTCTAGATTAACAAAACAAAGGTTTGATGAGTATTCCAACTATGTTTTAACTTCAATAGAATACATGCTAGTGTTGGGAAAGCATTAAGAACAACTAACCAAGGTCACGTGACAGGGACGCCGGGACGATAAAAAGGCAAGGGGGGCAAACGCACACCAAAGGGGCACCTCTGTAGACCCCGGTGAAGATATAAACCTACAATTATGTGTTGACTTGCCAATGAAAGCAAACGCACTTAATCAGGTCACAACAAAACATGTGATTTATCAGGTAGTATTTTATAACTCAAAGGGCACTTCTGCCCCTTGCCCCTCCTAACAAAAGGCAAGAGGGGCAGCTGCCCCGCCTGCCCCCCCCCCCCAGTTCCGGTGTCCCTGCGCGTGACTACCAACTCTCGTGTCCTCTTACCCTCGTTTGGCTTTAGTGTAAGTAAGTTCATCTCTACCTGATTTGAAGGCTTAAGCCTGGTTCTAGCCTGCGTGCGCTGTCACTGTGCCCTTAGCTTCAAGTAAGGTTGATTAGCACACCCCCTCTTACTGTTCTCGCTCCTGACACGCGGACAAAGCGATCGTAATTAAATACGGCATGAAATGTGTATCCCCACAGTGCTGGCAAGGCAGGGGGGAAACCGCCCCCGCAAATGGAAAAGCCTTGAGCGGTTTGTGTGATGTCGTGATAGCTTCTTCCCTATGTGGCTAAGCTCTATAATGTCTTTTAAATTGGAGCCAAGAAAGTCTTGCTGTGAGATTTGAGATTGTTGGCCTACGTGGCAGGTGATGAGAAAGCTTTGCCAACTGAATTCCCATCCCGCCCGGCCGCAACTGTTAAATCACGTTAATTCACTCGAGGCCAGACGAGTTTCGCCATTTGTTCACACTGGCGTTCGTACGGTGGCTGTGTAGCCTCTGCCCTAATCAATTTCGTAGCTAGAGCCACAGAAGCCCTTGAAGGAAGGTTGTGCTCTAATTCGTATACGTCCTAAAGCCCTGTTTACACTATCAAAGTTTCTGTGATCACAGTAGGAATTTTGCATGGGTAAATTCTAAGTTTTGAAGGGTTTGTAAGAAATGTTTGAGGAAACCGACTCAGTATTTAACACCAACTAAATTCCCTCAAATATTTCTTACAAATCCTTCAAAACTTAGAATTTCCCCATGCAAAATTCCTACTGTGATCACAGAAGCTTTGATAATGTAAACTCGGCTTAATTTAATGTTGACTTCTAGAACGGGTGTGTCAGGGGTATGTCACGGGCCTAACTAAAATGGGGCTTAAGAAAAGCTTAACTCGATGTTAAATCAACAATTAGAATTTACAATTTCGACTAAACATTGAGTGGTTATACGGTGCAAGCATTCATAGAATAAATGTGATGTTTAATCAAAGTGTTTAATTTATTTTCAGTACAAACAGTTTCTTTTTTCATCAAATATTTTACTTCGTGCCTCTGTTGATTGACAGATTGACAGTGTCAATGAAGTATTCTTTCATTATTGAATCTTGAAAAGCAATGATGGAATTCAAGTTATTTTGCAAACTCCATACCGGCTTATAATTTGAACATAGCTGTCTCGCCCAACTCGAGCGTAGCTCAGTTTTAAGTATAAAAATACCCTTTGTTACTAAATATATAAAATATTTTCGCAACAAAAATTCCATTCTATAATGGTGGTCTTAGTTACAAGCATGGCACAATGCAAGTTTATGATTGTTTAGGCTGGCCTGACATTGTCGCAATTAAATCTATAATTAGAGACAAAGTGTTTCGTGTTTGCCATCATGATTGTGATCAGTCATCAGGTGCTAATGGCTACGAAATAACCTGCTGTGATCATACCATTAAAAACTCAGTTGGAGCCGGGACATATCTTACTGTGAAGGCTAATACCACCTAGCTGGGAATTCAGATACCTGCTTGGTATATTTTCTCCAATATGAAGTCGAACGGTGTGTCCAATAGCACTCAGTCGTTCGGTATAAGTGAACGATCTTCGGCAATGCAGCTGAAACAGAAGCGTTACATTGCTCTGTTTATTGCAGGTATTCTCCTGGCTATTCTTATTGGCTTCCTCTTGGGTTATTTTATACCAAAATGTGACGAGGATAATCAGAACTGGATGCCGCAATCCAATGCAAGCAAGAATTATGAGGCAGATCTCTTGGCTGTCTTGGATAGTAAAGCTATCGAGAATATTTCAAGGTATGGGTGGTTATGCTTGTTTTATATTTAGACTGATAGCTGCCCTGGCTTGGTTCTTTCGAGTACGGTTATAAACAGGAATCAGTTCGGAATTTTTCAATAAGAATTCATATTTAAATATTTATATGGCGTGATATACTAGAGTCCTAATTTGATATTTGTTTCACTGTATTGTACGCGTTTTTTTTTTAAAGTAATTTTTCAAATAGCTAAGGCTTGGACAACAGGACAAATAATGTCCTATATTAAGTGCTGCCAGACATGAATTTGCTGTATAGACTACAAACATTATATCACCGTGAAATCATCAAATTGAATCAATTTCCTGAGTCATTATATCGCTACAAAGTACTTTGTATATAGCGAAAACGATACTTGGAACAAAATGTTTTCCAAATCTATCAACATCAAAACATGTATTAAGTTTCTTAGTTGATTTCGATTTCAGCGACTAAACAGCATAAGAAAGGATTTGAGCGTTTAATGTTGTGACTATATAATTATCTTAAACCCTCGCGTAGCATGTCATTTGAAGTCACAAACATTGGTGAAAATATGTTGTATTGAAATTGTACTGTAAATACTTCCGTTGCGCAGTGAAGCTGCATGAAACTGCAATATTTGTTGTAGTAATAAGTTTGCGTGAGAAATATCATGAACGCAAAATACTCTCCTCGCACGTCTGTGAAATATCTTTACTCAATTGGATTTGTCAGCTCGAGCTCAGATCCACCTTAATGACATTTAATAAAATACACGTCATATATCATCATCGACTGGAATTGTTTGTTAACATTCTCCAAAACCCAAAATGGCTAAACGTAGCTTTATTTATTAATGGCCGATTTACATTACGCAACTTTTACCTATAACTGTCGCATGCAACCTGCTTACAACTTGAGTTGTATCATGTAAATCAAGCACACAACTCACCTATGTTGTCGTTGTTGAGTTGTATGCTCGATTTACACAGTACAACTCAAGTTGTAAGCAGCTTGCAATGCGACAGCTTTAGTCAAATGTTGCGTAATGTAAATCGTCCTTTAACATGCAGGGGATGTTAAATCCCTCTGTCTCATTTGTTCTTTTAATCATCTGACAACAACAAGATCACGTAAAGCTGGCTGGAGAGCAATCTCAAGCGGCGATCTTATTTCGAAGATGCGAGCTCTTACTGAGCTTCAGTAAACATCAGAATGCCGCTACTCTTTATCTTCGTATTAAACAGTAATGAAGATATTTAGTGAGTCTGGGCCCTCACTGGGCCTCACTCAACATGGAATGCCTATTCCCTTATTTTCTAATCAAACTAAAACACATTCATGCAGGTATCTCATACAAGGCGAGTTTTGCTAGCAGACTGTGTGACTTTCATTCCTCATGCAGTACGCATGACTCAGTTTGCATGCGAGAAGTATGTTCTATTTTACTCAAACATTGCAGATTAGCCCCCGGCACGCCAGGGTTTTTTACATTTTTTTAAATTTACTTAATATAAGATGAAGCTAGAATCAGGAGTCTATATAGAACGCTTTTAAGGGCTTTTAGATTTCGACCCCTATAGTTCACGTGTTTAGTGTTTAGACAGTTCCCTCGAACATTTCTTACAAATCTTAGAATTTTATACCCATGCAAAATTCCTACTGTGATCACAGAAACTTTAATAAACCAGGCTATAAGGTTTCCTTGCGTGTAAAAGTACTGGAACGTTGATTTCAATCAACTGATAGAATTGCATCAGATGTTTAGTATAAATGGCCTTGGCCTTTTATTCTAATTAATCATTTTCATGTAATTCCGATCCAATTAGAAACTTCTTCAGTGGACCTCACGTTACGATCCTCGTGTAAAAGTACTGGAACGTGGATTTCAATCAACTGATAGAATTGCATCAGATGTTTAGTATAAATGGCCTTGGCCTTTTATTCTAATTAATCGTTTTCATGTAATTCCGATCCAATTAGAAACTTCTTCAGTGGACCGCACGTTACGATCTGGAATGAGCGAGATAATTTAGCATCTGCATGCGTTGAACGTATCGCGTGAAGTTTTATAAAACCCTGACGTTTCGGGAGAATTGTTCCTGGGATTAATTAGTTGCGCCATTACATGTTTTGTTACCTTGAGGCCGGAGGATGCCTTCAAAATATCGCTTCGAGAAACTAATATTTACAAATTGTAGCTGTTAGCCTATTAGACTCGTAAGATATAGTTTCACTCCATATATCAGCAACTACATTGATTTTACACTAGTGTTGATAAGTATGACAGCATGCGATGATCAGTTCTTGTCACCTGCACACGACAAACTATCAACATTTTAATTCTTCAATTATATGCATGTCCTATTTTTAAATACTGGGTACTTTTTGAAACCCCAACTGGGGTTTTTACGAAGTCATTGCACTTTTTAAGGATTTCGTAATAAATGTTGGTCTTTGCAAACTAACGTCATGGAAATGGAACGGCTATAAAATTGCACTCGATTTTCGACAGGATAGATATAGACGTAACACGCGCTCAAAACTAATGCGTATAATATATCACTTGAGGTTATGACTAAATTCAAAATTTTTATTTTTCGATACGTTTCTCAATCGGCAAACAAACTTAAAAAGTATGTTTAGTGCTTTATCTGTAAAATAATGCTAAAATGAAGAGATTTTAGATGATACGCCAAAGAGAAAATGATGTCTGAAGTTCAGTAAGTTTTGCTTATATGGCTGTAAATATGGCGTCAATTTTAAAGCATCACTGACAATTGTATTTTAATTGACAATTTTTAACTATTATTTTATGTTTCTCAACCGGCAGATGCATTTAAAAAGGTAGCTAACTCTATAAACTAGAGAATAAAGCTAAAACGAAGTAATTTTGAGAGGAACGCCAAAAAGATTTTAGGTTTTGAACACTTTTCATTGCAAATACGTGACATCGAAAAAAATTGCCTCTTAACACGAAAGATTCAGATTGACAGGGATACAACTACCTGAAAAATACAAGGAGAACTTCAAGGCCTTTCGCTCGAAACATTGAAATTCTCCTTGTATTTTTACGGTGTAGTTGTATCCCTATCAATCCGATTCTTATTTATTAATATTGCCACTCCTTACATACACACCGTTCAACATTCTAATCTTTAACAGCCTGAAGACCATGAGAAAGTGCCTCAAAAGTAGTGTTAGATGGTATTATGATAAAGGTTTAAGAGATAAAAGTTGGCAGTACAAGGATTTCAAACGAGTTTAAACTGGTATTCACACTGAGGTGTTACATAAGAAGGTTATGCATTGTTTGACTTATTTAATCTGGCGTCCTCAGGCTTTGAGACGCCATGCCAATAACAGATTCATAGTATAAATATTTACGTTTTAATATCTTTTAATCCTCCGTAATCCTGTATTTGGTTATTAAATCTAATTTAACTGAGTTGGCTCACTGAGGTTCCATTCTTTCAAGATGCAGTTGTCTGATAATAATTTCACTTCAGTCTCGTGTGAGAAGAGTGTTTCCACTCTCTACCAAACACCACATGTTTTCTTCACGTACTCTGGTTTCCTGGATTTGTAGTACTGGATCAATAAGAGATGATCCTTACTGAATCCCTGGGAAGAACAGTTCAGAACTGATAGAGCTATCCAGTGTAAATAAAGTTAGTTTAGTTTAGGTTTCCTCCTGTAGTAACACTGGATCAACAAGAGATGATCCTTACTGAATCCCTGGGAAGAACAGTTTAGAACTGATGGAGCTATCCAGTGTAAATAAAGTTAGTTTAGTTTAGGTTTCCTCCTGTAGTAACACTGGATCAATAAGAGATGATCCTTACTGGACCTCTAGGGAGAACTGTTTAGAACTGATAGAGCTATCCAGTACAAATAAAGTTAGTTTAGTTTAGGTTTCCTCCTGTAGAAACACTGGATCAATAAGAGATGATCTTTACTGGACCTCTAGGGAGAACAGTTTAGAACTGATAGAGCTATCCAGTATAAATAAAGTTAGTTTAGTTTAGGTTTCTTCTTGTAGTAACACTGGATCAATAAGAGATATCCTTACTGGACCTCTAAGAAGAACAATTTAGAACTGATAGAGTTATCCAGTGTAAATAAAGTTAGTTTATCTTTCTTCTCCTTTTTCATTCCAGGACATTTTCGAGTGTTCCACATCTCGCAGCCTCTCCAAGAGACGTAGAAATGGCAGGGATAATTGAACGTCTGTGGAAACAATATGGTTTTGAAGTTGAACTACCAACATACGAAGTGTTGTTGTCCTACCCTAAGAAAAATACCAGCAATAAAGTTCAGATTATCAATCAAACTGGACACACGACCTTTGAGGTGAGTTAGGAATTAATCCCCGGTGAAACGAGAGTTGATGAGTGTTAACATGCAGTCAAGCATTCTTACAGGGGGCATTTCAAGTTTCCAATTACGTTTTAATAAAATTATTGCAAGCATTCGAGTGGCCAACTCTTACGCACTCTCACCTTGTTTGACCATCTTGATCATCCTTTAGACATCTTTTGTGCAAGACTTATAATATTCAGAATTCCTGTTATTATGCACCGTCACGTGTGGCAATGCACTTAAAACTCTTAATCCCTTTGTGCTAATCTTGTCATAGCGACAGAATGAAGCTCTGAATGGAATGTTTAAAAGACATATTACACGTGCACTTGTGTGTTATGAATGAAAACTTTCTTTAATCTTCTTTGAGTCAGAAGCTTGAACGTGTAGTAACAGATTTCCAATGTTTCTAAAGTATTTTGCGCCAAAGACATTAAGATCCTTCCCCCTTGATGTGAACGACAATAGAATGATAAAATAGAGGTCCTCCCATTGGCTCCTCCTCGGAGGTCCTGAAATTTGAAAGGCCTGTTGGTTCAACAATATGCAACAGTGTTGAATGCAACATATGCGTGGCCTCGTTTCAAAACTTTGTTGGCTGACGTTTCAGGTTTGACTCCACAGAATAGAGACAAACAGAAGTTTGACTCAGAATTTACCCCCCCGAGACGTCCCCCATTTCGAATATTCCAGGGGGTGAATGTCTCTCATAAGCACACTGGCTGGGACCATGGTGTCAACATTGCAACGGTTACGCCAAAATCACAGCCGTAATCCGTGTGTGTCTAACTCTATTCTGTGACGTCTCGAGGTTGGACTCATTTGAACGCGGCTTAAGTTTGAGTTTATTCCATTTCTCACTCGTCTGTGAGCGCATTTCCCAACAAGCTACAGCACAATTGATAGGGAGTCCAAGGTATCTGCGATTTTAACGATTTACTGATATCAATATAAAGGTAGCTCTCTTTCTCCTAAATTATTTTTACTGCTATGAATGTAAAGGTAGCTGTCTTTCTCCTCAATTATGTTTACTGATATCAATGTAAAAGTGGCTCTCTTTCTTTTAAATTATTTTTACTGATTTCAATGTAAAGGTAGCTCTCTTTCTCCTAAATTATTTTTACTGCTATGAATGTAAAGGTAGCTGTCTTTCTCCTCAATTATGTTTACTGATATCAATGTAAAAGTGGCTCTCTTTCTTTTAAATTATTTTTACTGATTTCAATGTAAAGGTAGCTCTCTTTCTCCTAAATTATTTTTACTGCTATGAATGTAAAGGTAGCTGTCTTTCTCCTCGATTATGTTTACTGATATCAATGTAAAAGTGGCTCTCTTTCTTTTAAATTATTTTTACTGATTTCAATGTAAAGGTAGCTCTCTTTCTCCTAAATTATTTTTACTGCTATGAATGTAAAGGTAGCTGTCTTTCTCCTCAATTATTTTAAGACGTTGAGTAGAGGTTGTTCCAAGGATTAAACCCGGCTCTCCAAGTTTGAAAGTGGTGACCACGTGACCACGACAACCACAAGTGCTGGTAAAGAATTTGGGCTTAACAATGACATGTGAATCTGAAAAAAATGCTTGTGGCATTTTGAAAAGATCGTATTGGCTCAATTTGGCATCTTGAAAAGATCGTATTGCTCAATTTTCACAATATTTTCCCTGGAGTGAGCTACAATGGAGTGATACAATGCTCATATCCGTCCAGGGGTGAACCTCCTGTCATGTTCATTCTCTTTCCTACAAGACCTTGGGTGATCTTTCAAATGATCTATGTTATCAATGCTTTAATTAAAATAATCCTTTGAGATACTTGTGTATTGTTGAAGTATATTTATACACTAGCAACCGTTGCCACATGCAAACTTTTCGTCTTTAACAAAACTTGGTTGATATGGATGTACTTGCTTGAAACATACAAAGAAAAATTCGACGCTTCGAGACAAGGCCTTTCGTGGGGAAGTTATTAAGCGCATGGCAAGAGACTAATGATAAGTGATTAACGTCATCTTCAATTATGTTTATTTGACCTCATTAACATTGAGCAAAATCCGAAATTCAGCCATGCCATAAATAGTAACTGTTCTCCCCAGAGGTCCAGTAAGGCCATGTCTTCTTGATCCAGTGTTACTACAGGAGGAAACCTAAACTAAACTAACTTTATTTATATCTCTTATTCATCCAGTGTTACTACAGGAGGAAACCTAAACTAACTATTGATACTGGATAGCTCTATCAGTTCTAAACTGTTCTTCCTAGAGGTCCAGTAAGGATCATCTCTTATTGATCTAGTGTTACTATAGGAGGAAACCTAAACTAAACTAACTTTATTGATAGTGGATAGCTCTATCAGTTCTAAACTGTTCTTCCTAGAGGTCCAGTAAGGATCATCTCTTATTGATCCAGTGTTACTATAGGAGGAAACCTAAACTAAACTAACTTTATTGATACTGGATAGCTCTATCAGTTCTAAACTGTTCTACAGGAGGAAACCTAAATACCTGAAGATAAAATACCTTGATAAAGTGAGATTGGAAGCAATCTTCTCACATGCGTTGAAGTGAAATTATAACCAGACAACTGTGTATTACAGGAATCAATCGTTTGGTCGCAGGAATGAAAGTTGCATGCCCAAGCAGTGTAGCATCAACAACCCCCCAAAAATCTCATCACACTTTACCTTATTTTATGTAGACCACTGATCTCCTTGATGGAGATGGAGTGCCATCATTTCTGGGTTATTCTGGCTCAGGTACTGTCTGGGGAGACTTGGTGTATGTGAACTATGGAATACAGGACGATTTTAAAGTTCTGAGAAATTATAGCATATCATTGAATAATTCCATTGCAATAATCAGATATGGAAGAATATTTAGAGGCAGTAAGGTAAGTGTGGAAAAATATTGCCATTATTGTTTTTTCTTGATATGATAATGTTAGGAGAGTATAAAAGCAAACACCGCAGCTTTACTTTGGGTTTTCAGCTGCAGTAATACTGGACCATTAAGTCACACCCTTACTGGATGGCTAGGTGAAGTGATAGAGTATATACCGTATAAATAAAGTTAGTTTAGTTTAGGTTTCCTCCTGTAGTAACACTGGATCAATAAGAGATAATCCTTACTGGACCTCTAGGAAGAACAGTTTAGAACTGATAGAACTATCCAGTATAAATAAAGTTAGTTTAGTTAAGGTTTCCTCCTGTAATAACACTGGATCAATAAGAGATGATCCTTACTGGACCTCTGGGAAGAACAGTTTAGAACTGATAGAGCTATCCAGTATAAATAAAGTTAGTTTAGTTTAGGTTTCCTCCTGTAGTAACACTGGATGAATAAGAGATGATCCTTACTGGATCTCTAGAAAGAACAGTTTAGAACTGATAGAGCTATCCAGTATAAATAAAGTTAGTTTAGTTTAGGTTTCCTCCTGTAGTAACACTGGATCAATAAGAGATGATCCTTACTGGACCTCTAGGAAGAACAGTTTAGAACTGATAGAGCTATCCAGTATAAA